TTCCATGTGTTTTATGTGTACACTTGTCCTGGTCACGTGGTCCACACGAGGCAGAGTTGGATTGGGCGCCGATTCTAACATCGATTCTAACATCGATTCTAACATCGATTCTAACATCGAATCATTCCCGTGTAATTAATTTCACACTCTTAAGTTTCCACGGTCATCGGTTATAGTGGGGATCAAGCCCCAAGGTTGATTAATTAGCGTGATCGATCCAGACCTCGATCATTGCTCTTGTGTTACTGGTCTGGTGGTGGCAGCGTAGAGGCGACTCTAGGGTTTTGCTCATAGCCTAGGTCACGTCATACTGGGTGTAGAATCCTAAGTCGGTCAATCGTCTTAGGACCACGTGGCGTGGAGTTGGCTTTGGTAAAAGTTTTGGAGTCCCTTGGCAGAGAATAAAAAGTAAGAATACGGGTAGAGGGGGAGAAGAAGGTAGATAAGAGAGAGAAACCCTAACCTGTGTTACAGGGCGACAAGCAGCCCAACCGGGCGACAAGCAGCCCAACCGGGCGACAAGCAGCCCAACAGGGCGACAAGCAGCCCAACAGGGCGACAAGCAGCCCAACAGGGCGACAAGCAGCCCAACAGGGCGACAAGCAGCCCAACAGGGCGACAAGCAGCCCAACAGGGCGACAAGCAGCCCAACAGGGCGACAAGCAGCCCAACAGGGCGACAAGCAGCCCAACAGGGCGACAAGCAGCCCAACAGGGCGACAAGCAGCCCAACAGGGCGACAAGCAGCCCAACAGGGCGACAAGCAGCCCAACAGGGCGACAAGCAGCCCAACAGGGCGACAAGCAGCCCAACAGGGCGACAAGGACGAGGAGCCGACAGACGTTCCAATAATGCGGGAAGTAGCGAAAAACCTTCCCGTACCCTCAAGAACACGGAAGCCAACACTAGTCCCGAAGGCACACGAAGGCGCAGGCGCACCCGAGATCAGAAGTCACGCAGAACCCCATCGAACGGGGAAACATGACGAAAACACCGTCCCAAAAAGGGGTGGGAGGAAACATCCACCCACAGGACGGAACCAACCGACTCAAAGGCCAAGGAACCGAGCCCGGGGAGAGGCCGACGCCCAAGAGCACGTACGGCGAGTGGGGAGGAAAAACCCCACTCCGCGTAACCACAAGCCCCGCCTAGAGGGGGATAAAAAAACCCACGGGGTCCAACGGGGCCAAGGCCCCCCAAGTCAGCCCCTTCCCATACCCGGGGACCTACACGACAGGCCCCGGGGCCGAGCCGTTCCCCCAAAGCCCCGGCCGTACCAGAAAACCGGGGCAGCCGTGAAAACACTAATGAAGGGAGCCCACTGGCAGACTCGTACAACATGGCTGGAGGAACAGGCTCAAATGCCCCCGTCACTACCCCGGAAGGGGAATTCCCCGAGACTGCCCGAGTCTCAACACCATCAAAAAACCCCGCCCCGAACCTACAGACGGTAAGGAACCGGATGCAGGCAGGAAGGGTGATCCAGGGGAAAGACAAGGGGGCGTGGATGGAACCGAAGCAATCAACACCCCCCAAGTCCCAAAACGAACTACAACGGGGCAGCCCCGGGGCTCCCGGGGAGGAAACCACGAGAACGTTGCCACCACCAAGGCTCAAGTGCAACGCCCCTGCTGCCCGCACCCGCTTTGTAAGCACAACTGGGTAACCGAGCCACAACGAGTAACCAAACTCGCAGGACTCCGGGTCGAAGGTGTCACCGACCCCACAGGCAGCAGACGGAGGCAAAACAGAGAGTCACCCAGAGATAAAGGGTGAGAGCAACCCTCAAACTCGCTGGAAGCGAGGGGGGGACTCTGGGGTCACATCCATCGGACCCGCGCGCCCCCAGGGGTTTCCCAGGGTCCCGAGCGTTTACTATAAGAGGACTCGCGCTCAGGTAATCCCAGGCAGGGTACTGCTAACCGGCACCCAAAGCTACCAAACAACTTTCTAAGAGCTGAACCCCCGGGACGTGTACACTCACGGGGACATAGCAGGGGTACCACCAGAAAATACTCAGAACACAAGGGACACAAGGGGCAAGAACGAAGGCAGACCCCCCACCAGGTAGATAAACAAAAAAAAAAGGAAACCCCGCAAGAGGACAGCGTACCCAAGCGGAACAGAGCCGGCCGCTATGATTGGTAAAGACAAGCTGCACAGTACCCTGCGCCCCACCAGTGCAAAAACTGCCCCTTACTCTAAGGTGAACAAGGGAGACAGAACACCCGAGCACACAAAGAGTGGCCGAAAACCAAGCAGTAAACGGCCAAGCAGGGTCAGGACCCAAGGAGCTTGTGGAAGGTTGCCCCAAGCCCCAAGGGCAGTACTTACAGGGCACCTAGGGAAGGGAACCCTAGGCGCATGTAGCCCGAGTACTGAAGAATCACTCCCGGCTCACGCACCACCTAGAAAACAGACACCACACTCTAGGTACAGTGCTGAAACAACCACTGGAGCCGGAGCACATAACCATTGCCTATAGCATCAGCCGAAGAACTGATGGGTGGATAGCCGGCATGGGAGGTCTGGGGCTCCCCCTTCCCCCTCCCGGGGAGGGGGGAGCTGCCCAGACAGCGGTGCGGTGACGTATGACGTCATACTAGTTTCCTTGTTTTCTGTTGAAGAGTTCTATCCACTAGTTCGGCTTTAGGTAGCAATTTTTACCAGAATAGGGGTTTGTTTTGGAATGCTTACCTTTCTGGATGCTTGACCCGGTCGATGGCAGACATAGAATGCTTCCAACCACACGGAGGTTTCTATAGGCCATTGCTCCCCTTGCCTCTCTGAGGGGGCCAGGTTCTGGCTCGTGGTCCCCGGTAGGCCCTAGAACTCCATACACATGACAGATGCCAAAGTCTGACATTAGCATATCAGCCGGTAAAGCTCCGGGGAGCCGACGGGGCTCCCCCCAGAAAAGACTTTCGACAGAGTACCACATAAGAGGTGGTTCTGGAAATTGGAAAATATTGGAGGGGTGACAGGATGGATGTCACCCCCTTCTAACATGGATGAAATATTTTCTGACTGATAGAAAAATGAGGGCAGTAATTAGAGATAATGTCTCGGACTGGAGAAATGCCACAAGTGGGGTACCACAGGGTTCAGTTCTTGCACCAGTGATGTTTATTGTCTACATAAATGATCTACCAGTTGGTATACAAAATTATATGAACATGTTTGCTGATGATGCTAAGATAATAGGAAGGATAAGAAACTTTGTTTCGAAATGATTGTCATGCCCTTCAAGATGACCTGGACAAAATAAGTATATGGAGCACCACTTGGCAAATGGAATTTAATGTTAATAAATGCCATGTTATGGAATGTGGAATAGGAGACCATAGACCCCATGCAACCTATATATTATGTGAGAAATCTTTAAAGAATTCTGATAAAGAAAGATCTAGGGGTGGTTCTAGATAGAAAACTATCACCTGAGGACCACATAAAGAACATTGTGTGAGGAGCCTATGCCACGCTTTCTAACTTCAGAATTGCTTCTAAATACATGGATGGCGATATACTAAAGAAATTGTTCACGACTTTTGTTAGGCCAAGCTAGAATATGCAGCGGTTGTGTGATGCCCATATCTTAAGAAGCACATCAACAAACTGGAAAAGGTGCAAAGACATGCTACTAAGTGGCTCCCAGAACTGAAGGGCAAGAGCTATGAGAAGTTAGAGGCATTAAATATGCCAAACTAGAAGACAGAAGAAAAAGAGGTGATATGATCACTACGTACAAAATAGTAACAGGAATTGATAAAATCGATAGGGAAGATTTCCTGAGACCTGAAACTTCAAGAACAAGAGGTCATAGATTTAAACTAGCTAAACACAAATGTCGAAGAAATATAAGAAAATTCACTTTCGCAAACAGAGTGGTAGACAGTTGGAACAAGTTAGGTGAGGTCGTGGTGGAGGCCAAGACCGTCAGTAGTTTCAAAGCGTTATATGACAAAGAGTGTTGGGAAGACGGGACACCACGAGCGTAGCTCTCATCCTGTAACTACACTTAGGTAATTACACACAGTTTACATATAGGAAAAACCAAGAGCAGCAGCCAGGAATTCTCATGAGTCTCATGAGAATCTCTTGTGACTGTAGCTCTTAACAAGAGCTACAGTCACAAGTAACATCAACAGCTGATATGGGAACCAATCATGGATTCCAAATCACAAGATTCCAAAATGAATGCTTCAAACTCCACAAGACACTGTACAACAGTCAGGGAAATCTGTCACTACGCAAACAGCAGAGATATGAGGTAAACAACCTCCCTGAAGCAGGGATGCTGGAATGTCACCGCAATGAAAGTGCAGAGAAATGTGGCTATCAGGAAGAGGAGAGTTACAAATGAGCTGAATTGGCCTCTTAATTACTGAAGTTGCTGGTATATCTATTACTGTATATATATATATATAGTAATTATTACAAAAATTGTATTTAAAATACTGAGGTCATAAGTATTGTACGGTATTCTCAATTTCAAAATTTATCAATAATGCTATCTGCTAACTACAGTATATAAAAACCCCTTTCTAATCAAAGATACTTCACAACTTTTTAAGCACAAAATGTTAAACTTGCACAGTATAAATAACATTGACCTCCATCTTCTAGATCAAAGAAAATAATCACTGTATATTAATTAATCATTGATAAAATTAAAATACTTTAAGTCTCATATGTATTATACACAAAAGCATTATGACAGTGCTGGGAAGACAGGACACCACGAGCGTACTTTTCATCCCATAACTATACTTAGGTAGTTACAATGTCCTGGGCAGGCTTCCTGGATACAAGTCATTTTGTATACAACACCATTCAACACACAAAATGAACACAAATCATTTTATACAAGACCGTAAATAGGGTTCCAAGACCTTAGAAACATCTATATAATACAGTATTTTACTGCACACAGTAAATTCTAAACAATGCATAATTTTAAAATAAAACTCATAAGATTAATTAGAAGCATTCATGTCATACCTTTAGACAGTGACTTTGTGGCATAAGGAAGCATGGTAATGGTGGCAAGAGATTGCTTGTCAAGGAGTGCAGCAACAACTGGCCAATACCCCCGATTGAGGGAGTGAAGTCCGTGTAATAAGGCAGCATCTAGACTCAACACCAGCCATCTTCCTGTGCAGGCTCGGACACATCCTACACCACACCACTCCAGTTGAGCCTGTTGGTGTACATATTATTAGTACATAACATGGTACGTTAGGTTGTTTACTTATAATAGTTCAGAATGATTTAAACTTCACTTTCAAACACTATCTAAAGAAATTTAAAAGATGAAAGTGAAGGCCAACTCAGTTTACAAACACTAGGCATATTCAAATTCTTGTGCAATACAATTAAATATATTACAGTACAGTACTAATCTTCAGCATCTTCATTTTGGCAAAAGAACCTGATATGACCCAGAATACTGACCTTGACTATGCTTTTATCTACAAACTAAATATATGTACAGGTACAGTGGAACCTCTGTTTTCAAATGCCGTGTTCCGTTTTTCATGTTCTCAAGCTCAATTTCTTGAAAAATTTGACTCGGTACTCGAGGTTTGCCTCGGTGCTCGAGTTTGTTGATACTGTATATGTATGGATCAACGAGCGTGTGATTCTGTTCTGCTGGGCGAGGGGCGGGACAAGTCGCGCACAGTTTACCAGTGTCTCCCGCCTAATGACGATCGCACTTGAATATTGTATTTGGGAGAACAGCAGGAGAATGGTGGGGTGATTGGATGGATGGTGAGGGGACTAGATGGCTGGATGGATAGATGGATGGATGGTGGGGGGGAAACTGGATGGATGGATGGATGGATGGATGGTGGGGGGGGGGAAACTGGATGGATGGATGGATGGATGGTGGGGGGGGGGAAACTGGATGGATGGATGGATGGTGGGGGGGGAAACTGGATGGATGGATGGATGGTGGGGGGGAAACTGGATGGATGGATGGTGGGGGGGAAACTGGATGGATGGATGGTGGGGGGGGGGGGGGGAACTGGATGGATGGTGGGGGGAGGAAACTGGATGGATGGTGGGGGGGGGGGGGAAACTGGATGGATGGTGGGGGGGGGGGGAAACTGGATGGATGGTGGGGGGGGGGAAACTGGATGGATGGTGGGGGGAGGAAACTGGATGGATGGTGGGGGGGGGAAACTGGATGGATGGTGGGGGGGGGGAGAAACTGGATGGATGGTGGGGGGGGGGGGGGAAACTGGATGGATGGTGGGGGGGGGGGAAACTGGAAACTGGATGGATGGTGGGGGGGGGGGGGAACTGGATGGATGGTGGGGGGGGGGGAACTGGATGGATGGTGGGGGGGGGGAAACTGGATGGATGGTGGGGGGGGGAAAACTGGATGGATGGTAGGGGGGGGGGGGAAACTGGATGGATGGTGGGGGGGGGAAACAGGATGGATGGTGGGGGGGAAACTGGATGGATGGTGGGGGGGGAAACTGGATAGATGGTGGGGGGGAAACTGGATGGATGGTGGGGGGGAAACTGGATGGATGGTGGGGGGGAAACTGGATGGATGGTGGGGGGGGGAAACTGGATGGATGGTGAGGGGGGGAAACTGGATGGATGGTGGGGGGGGGAAACTGGATGGATGGTGGGGGGGAAACTGGATGGATGGTGGGGGGGGAAACTGGATGGATGGTGGGGGGGAAACTGGATGGATGGTGGGGGGGGGGGGGGGGAACTGGATGGATGGTGGGGGGGAAACTGGATGGATGGTGGGGGAGAAACTGGATGGATGGTGGGGGGGAAAACTGGATGGGTGGGGGGGGGGGGGGATAATGGAGGGGAGGCAGACTTCCTGAGCGCCTGTCATTAAACTCTTATTGTTTACCGACTGCCTGGTTGCGACTGTGAAAGTCTGACTGAAACCCTGACTGACTGTGAAATCCTGATTGTGAATGCGTGAAGGCGGTGATGATATATTAATTTGATATATCACGCTATTGTGATTTCTGTGTGTACTGAAGTGAGGGCGAAGAGGTAGAATAGCTTGTTGACAGAGCCCGAGTGCATGGGGGAATTGTGTAAAATCCCGGTTTGTGTCTCAGAGGGTGTGGGATCCATGTGAGAGCAGTAGCAATCCCGGTTGCAATTCTTTTCCATGTCATGGCACAGTTGAATAAGGCGCATCTGGGATCATCCTGGACATAGGTTCGAACCCTCATCACTGCCCTTGTGGATTTATTAATTTGATATCATGCTATTGTGATTTGTGTGTGATTTGTTCTTACTTAAGAGTTCATTTAGGGGTTCATTTGTAACCTCTATATATTTGCTTTGTATTATTTCAGATAATATGTAGTGAACCGAGCCTGCTAAAGCTAAACCGTTGTATTCAAGAGTATAAATCTTCCCCATTAAGCTCACTTGGTCTTGCCATTCTTGCCAACAGCAGTGTTAATGAAACTTATGATACCAGCATCAATTTGCTTGCAAGTCAACATAAGCAAACTGACCCTACATTTAGTGGCAATGTTTATAGTAATGCTCCTAAAAACCTCTACAAATATCCGATTTTCTTTTACTTCTTGGATTTCACTGTACAGTATGTTGATGCACAGTACCCTGGGACATTATCCATATAACCCTCAAACCTGTTTTATGCAGGTACAGTATGACAACAAATCCTTACTCCACTCAAGATGTGCTCTTCAGCTTATGTATTTCTGCACTACATACGTTAATAAATTTTTCCACAATAACAGGCAACAAATTATCATTTTTTTTTTATGAGCAGGATACACAAAAATTTGCTTTACAAAAAGAGTGAAGCATAACAAATTAAAATTACCAATCTCCAAGATAACCACCATGTTCCAGTACGGTAAACATTATATCTGATAAGCTATCAGATTAATCAGCCGTGTTCACATGAAACTTTAATGACACACAATATACTCTGTTACCAACCAACACACACCACCAATTACAGCCCTGATAACTTTGCAAAGCTGGGCTCAGTGGCAGCTAAGTACGGTAATGTATTTACTAATTTAAAACTAACATGTTTAAATAGAGAACAGTATAATGACAAAAGGTTAGAGTTCCTTCACAACTTTGAATGCCTTAGCATAAACAATGACGACCACATACATTTACATGTGGTTGTGGCCAACATCAGATAATTTTTTCACTTTCACTGCTCAAACTGATGCCAGGCCTCCCTAGTGATCAAATTAAAGCTTATACATTTTTTAGTGAACAAATTAAATGCTTATACCTTTGTGGCAGCCATACTAAAAAAAAAACTGCTGGTATAAATTTAATCATGGATCTCTTGACATTTACCAAGGTACTTATTTACCAGAGGTACATTTACCAGAGGTACAAGGCACCTCTGCTATTCACTGGGTTTAATTTGCACTTTCTACTTTTTTCATTCTAGATTATTATTATTTATGTGCAGATTAGAGACCACCCCTTCAAATATTTTCCATGAGTAGCTTCTCTCACTTTTATTTGGACTTTCACATTTACACTGGGATATACTGTAATGACACTAAGCACACAATATTTCCAATTACAAACTTTCAATTGTTTTGAACAAATCCAGAAGGGCCGTGACGAGGGTTCGAACCTACGTCCGAGAGCATCCCAGATGCTGCCTTAATCGACTGAGCTACGACATGGTTTAAAGAATTGCAACCAGAAGTTCTACTGACCTTACTTGGACCCTGCAGCCTCTCCGAGACACAAACCAGGATTTTACGCAATTCCCCCATGCACTCGAGCTCTGTCAATAGGCTGTTCTACCTCCATTTGATGCATCACACTATTGTGATTTCTGTGTGTAATTTCAATTGTTTTGTTACGAAGGATCAAAGTGCTTAGGAGGTTGCCAAGGAGCACTGGCATGAGGGTTTGAAGCATGACGACTTCATTATGAGGTAATGAAGTGATACAAGATTATCAGATAAAATAGTGATACAAAATACATACAAAATCTAGGAAAACCTTGAAGGATTCAAATATAATATTGTCATGTATACAGATTGGAAAAACTCCTGACAATTATAAAAAAAAAAAAGTGAAGAGCTAGATCTTTTCTCAGAAGTTCATAACTATTTTACAATTTTGAGAAATTAAACATTAAATTATACAAATTAATATAAGAAAAAAATTATTGGAAAATGTATGACAACATTTTAAACCCATCCTGGGCAATGAGTGCACATTTTAAATGTCGGTATACTTTTAAATGCCGTTATATTGTCTCACTGGTATTGGCCAGGAGACTGTTCAGACTTGTCAATAAGTCATCATAGCAGCCTAATCAAACACATTGAATGGAGTGAAACAAATGACAAGTGTTTAAGAATGCCAGGAATTTGTGGAATAATGAGGATGTAAAACTATGGTCATTAAGACGAGACCTTTCAAAGGAATGCAGAGAGGAGTTAAAACTAAACCTTGAAGCAAAACATGCACAGAGGAACCTCATGTGGCAAGCGGCCCCCATCTATGAGCATTTCAGGTAATGAGCAAGCCACTCGCAGAAAATTTGTCTCGATTGACGAGCGTTCGCTCGGTTAATTAACGAGAAAACCACGTGGTGCTTCCTAGCATTCTTGCTGGTTCTCGCAAATTCTTGGATGCCTCCGATGGTAGTGTTGTTGTTTTATCACGCATGACAAGCATCCCTCTACATTTATTATGCTTTTCTTTGTTTTTGTGGTTTTGTGACTACAATTTGTAACATACGAAGTCGCCAAAGAAGCTGCTTGCTAAAGATAGTGTTGTCAAGAGGAAGAAAGACAATTACTGTAGATTTGAAGAAGGAAGTCATAGCAAAGCATGAAGTGGATTCTCCTTCCACACTGTATCCCCTCTTCTCCTCCCCACCTCCCCATCGTCTCCCTCAAGCCAGCAATGGCTCTTCATAAGGCAAAGTACTGTACAATTGAAAACAGTAAAACAAAACATTTATAATAATTACATGAACTATAATTACATTATAAAATTTCATATTGATGTTTTTCAGAGGTGGAATGGATTAATTTTATTTCCATTATTTTAAATGGGGAAATTCGTTTCGCAAGATGAACGTTTCACATGACAAGGTCGGTGCCGGAACAGATTAAATTCATTAATCGAGGCTCCTCTCTGTAAATGTATTTACATTTACAGAGCTCCTCTGTATTTTCTCTGTAAATGAAAATAAAAATGAAGATATAAAAATAAAAAATCTACAGTGATAGGAATCTGAAGCCTGTGAAATGGTACATAAAAACAAACACAATAACCAAATTATTGTAGGAAGAGGCAAGTAAAAAACAAAGGGAGAGAGAACATGTTTCTGAAAATTTTATATAATAATATAGATACAGCTAGATAAAAAAATACTGGAGCTAAACGATATAATTCAACTGAAGAGGCCAGATATTGTCACACTAACAGACAAAACTTGAAGGTATTTTGAACGAGGTGACATTCCTGAGGGGGGTGGGGGGCTACTCAATTTGTTGATGTGACAGAAAAATTAGATAAGGTAGAGGCAGTGCTGTGCTGGTGAAAGTGCACCTGAAAGTAAGAGAAATAATAATCAACAACCCACAAGAAGTTGACATAATGGCACTACAGGTTTGGAATCAGGGTGATTAACTGATACAGTAATTATATTGCCTACAGTCCACCTGTAACATGTGAACACAGCAGCAGCTGGATGACAAATGAGAAGGCCTCATAATGATCACGAGACATTATAGTAGGAGCAGATAAAGATTAATTGCGATTGTTGGTACTTAAAACTTCAACTTCAAAATCAATAGACTGGAAAGCCTATCCTGAGGATCTAAAGATGATTTTGGGGCGTGCCGTCCCCGTGGCCCAGTCCTCGACCAGGCCTCGTTTTTGTTAGGGGCAGGAAGCAGCCCATAGCAGCTGTCTAACTCCCTATCACCTATAAGTACCTATTTACTGCTAGGTGAACAGAGGCAACAGGATGAAAGAAACTCTGCCCATTTGTTTCCGCCTCCACTGGGGATCAAACCCAGAACCTCAGGACTACGAATCCGAAGAGCTGTCCACTCAGCTGTCAAGCCTATGAAACAAGAAGTGAAGATATTTGGACTGGCAGATTCATAAACCTTATCCTGGAGACATTCATGTATCAACATGGTAATCATGCCCCTAGAATGAGAACAGGGGATGTTCCATCGATGCTGGATGTGATATTCACCAGGAAAGAAGGATATACGCATTTGATATTCAGTACCTTCCTCCTCTGGGTAAAAGCGACCATGTCCTCTTGGAAGTAAAATATGCAAATGTGCTATGATCTAAATGAATAGGAAGAAGATTAATTAGTTGAAAAGCTTGGTGAACTTAGCAAATTCTTTAATGAATTTGACTGGAAAGACTTGTTAGGCAAGGAAGTAAATGAGATGTATGCCAAATTTTGAGATATATTTTGGCGTAAAAATATTACATCAAAACAGATGCACATAAGCAAGCTGCATGTAAAGGAAAGAAATCCATTGACTGAAAATATTGAACAGATTCACAGAGGATGAAAAGGAAATGTGTGAAACATTAAATGAACAATCCCAAAGTGCGCGCGCAAAATAAGGTTTTCAGGAAACCAGACAACGCAGATTTCAGAAAACAACAAGTACAGTACATACAAGTGTCTCAAAATAATGCATAAAAATTACTCAAGGAGTTGGGTAGAAACAAAGCAGTTGGCCCAGTGAAATTTCACCCTGAGTTCTTGAGAATATGTTCACCTGAGCTAAGCATTCCACTTCAGTTAATTTTTCAGGCATCTTTATGCACAAGAATCTTAGCTCATATGTGGAAAAAGGCAGTGCATCAGACTGGAGAAATGTTACTAGTGGCGTACCACAGGTTTCAATTCTTCCATCCACCAGTAATGTTCATTGTGTACATAAATGATCTACCAGAAGAAATACAGAACTTTATGCACATGTTTGCTGATGATACTAAGCTACTAGGAAAGATAAGAAACTCAGATGATTGTCATGCCTTTCAAGATGACCTGGACAAAATTGTAGAGCAACACTTGGCAAATGGAAGTCAATGTGAATAAATGCTACATTAAGGAATGTCAAATAGGAGAAAATATGCCACACACAACCTAACCTGGTAGAAAAGAAGTCAGGGAGAAACTGGGGGTTCATCCAGAAAGAGGCACTTTACTACATTCACTGCTCAGTTTCTAAGTGAGCCCCTGGTGGCTATGTGAAGCAAACTAACCACAGAGAGCAAAATCGGGACTTATCAGGGAGGAGGAGAAGCAGCATGCACTCGGGTGGAAAACGTAATCTAGGCCAGGATACATGGCTCAAGGCTACACATAACCAACTGGAACCAGGGACATTAACCATACTGGGCTGCCAGAACCCTAGTAATCTAGGCCAGGATACATGGCTCAAGGCTACACATAACCAACTGGAACCAGGGACATTAACCATACTGGGCTGCCAGAACCCTCTTAGAATACCAGAACCCCTGAACACAAATATCAGCCCAGGACATGTTGAAGACTGCAACCAATGCAGTGTATAGCATCCACTATTTGGGGACCTCTGATTTACCGTTCGGCCAGTTCTAATGACCGAATTTGAGATCGGTAACTGGTGAATTTTTATCGAATCCATGGCCATTAAATCAGGAATACAGTATTGAGTTTACCAAGTCCGGTCCTGTTAAACTGGACTCTACGATTGGATTTGCTGTGACAACCTTGCCCTTGCAAGGCCAGCAATTATGTTTTTTTCTTCACAGACTTCACTGCCTCTGTTATGTAGCATCTAGTCAGTCCCAACCAGTCAGAGGCAGCCACAGTCAAGTCACAGCCATGCCAGCATTTAGTCACAACTTAGGCATTCAGTCACAAGTCACAGTCAGCAACCAGTCACAGTTTGTAAAAATATGAGTCTGATGTCAGGCACTCCAGCAGTCTGTCTCCCACCAGCTGGTAGGAACGTAGCTGAGAAACAAAATCATACTGTATT